CTCTGCTGCCGAGGCGGACGTCCCCCCGGGTCCCCGGATGGAGTGTGACAGTTACCCCTGCTCACACCGGGTGCAGCCTGGGGTACTTGGCAGGCGAGGCCGGCGGAGGTGGGCCAGCTTAGCACCAGGGAGGAGCGGGAGGCCGCGCGATGGGGCTGCTGCCCGCATTGGTGGCTGCAGACTGGCCTCCAGAGGGGGGCTCAGCCTTTTCTCCTGAGCACAGGGCTGGGCCAGAAGGGACAAGGTTTTTGTTTTGTTTTGCTTTGCTTTGTTGTTGTTTTGGTGGAAAGAAAACAATAGGCAAAGGGGGCGCCTGCTGTCCGCGGGTTAGTGGAACTACTTTACGCGCGGATTAGTCTCCTAGGTGTGACCTTGGGCAGTTCCCAGCCCGGTCTCTGCACCTAAAATACATTAGCTGTGTAAGCACTAAATATGTGTTTGTTAAATGGCTTGAGCGGGAACATGGTGCAGAAGATGATCCGCGCCCCTTCCATGCCTGACTGCTCGCTCCTTAGATCCTGTGAACAGACCCTGCAGCCGCACAGGCCCCCCCAGCTCCTCCCGCAGGCCCCGCACCGCAGCCCGGAGGAAATGGGAGCAGGGAACGGCCTATGCAGTGGAGTGGATGAAGGCAGGTTCCACGATGCAGAAGGGGGCATCTTAGGGGAGCCCTAGTGGGGGTCACTGGGCCCCTGGAGGAGGAGAAGGGGAGGCTGGTGGCCTTGGCCTCTGAGACAAACAGGAGCCAGCTTCTTCCCTCCCCCGCAGGCTTCCCAGGGCCTCCAGGTGTGAGAACCTCCCCCAGGCAGCACCCACCCCTCCCAGCAGGAGCCTGGGGACTGGCTGTGTCACCAGAGGGGTCCTTTCCTAGCGGGGGCAGGAGGGAGCCGATGTGTTGGGCGTGGGGACTCAGCAGAGCTGGATAAAATGCTCTCAACCCCCTCCTCTGTGGAGCAGCCCCTTCCCTGATCCTTGTGCACTGACTCACTACGGCTAGTGGCTCAACCCATGTGAAAAGGAAGAAAAGAGTGGCTCCCATGATGGCCTCAGATCCCACTGTGGGGGGCTAGCTCTTGCTTTTTGGTCCTGAAACTACTCCACTCTCTAGCCAGTGAACAAAAATGCCAAATTCTAAGCTTTTAAGTTCAAAAGCCACAGTACCTGGGGGTGAGACAGGGAAGTTGGAAGGAGGTATACACGGGCACATCCCCTCCCAGCTCTGCCCCAACGCCCTCCCTGCACCAGCTGTGAAGCTAGCCGAGGACGAGACAAGGAGGCAGACACTGGTTTAGGCCTGGTCTCATTTCCCCTTGTGGCGGAGTCCGGGACATGAAAGGGACAGAACCTGAGATAAATTCCGTGCGACAGGGCTGCTGCGGGTGTGGCGTGGAGAGCTGGCAGTTGCTACTGGACCCCGGTGGGAGCAGCCCCAGAGCAGAAATGAGGGCATGTGTGATCCATGGAGTCGGGGACTGGGAGAATTTCTCTCGGAGAATTCTCACTGAGCAGCACCCCCCCTCCCCGGCCCCAAACCTGTGCTGTGGTGTTAAGGAACTCCCCAAATTTAGATCCGTGGTGGAGGCAGGAGGAGGGGAGGGGTGGGATGACCTGGAAATGAGTGAGGGAATGAGCAGGTAGAATGGAGACCCAGATAAGGGTAAGCTGAACTAAAGGAAAATAAGGTAACATATTTGTATAACTGAGATCTGGCTTCTACATTTACCTGCTTCAGGGCCCGTCAGCTGAATCTCTGGGCCCCACTGCGGGAGGGGCCCAAGTGCACCTCCAACAAGCACCTCTGGTGACTCAGATGTAGTTGACGCTTAATAAAGGTTTTCATTTCTTGTTGTTGTTTTTTTTCCCCCTCTCCTAACATCACTGGCTGAGAAGATGGGACGAAAGGGGGCTGGGCCATTCCACACTAATGAACTTGCTCCATCCACGTGAGTCAAACCAGACCAAAATAGGCATTCATTTCAGAGACCCTGTGTGTCCCTCAACACAGCATGTAGATCAAGGCCTTCTAGTTAGGAATAGTGTTTGGAATACAGACCCAGGGGCTGCACCACCACCATCCAATCAGCTGCTCAAACTCTGTGACCTCTGGCTGAGCCCTCCTCCATCAGGAAGGCTTTGGAGCTGCCTGCCAAGCCCTGGGTTCCTGGAGAGGAGAGAAACTGCCAGGGATCTGCTGTATGCCAGAGGCTTTACGGAGATTGCTACATGTGTTCAGTTTCCTAATTACAAAAACAATGTGACTGCAATCTCCTTGCAAAATATTAAAATATTATACATAAAGCTGAGGCTCCCTGGTCACCTCCCAACTCATTTGTCATTTTTTTTTTTTAAACTTTCTGGAAGGTTTCATATAGCCTCCTTTTTTGGAGGGAAAAAATTTTTGTTGTGTTTTTTTTTTATTATTTAAAAAATGCAATATCTTTTCTTATCTGAGGATAATGATATTTTTAAAATTCAATATTAGATTTTATTTACTTTTAAAATAATTTTCTTGCCCTGGCCGGTTTGGCTCAGTGGAGGGAGTGTCAGCCTGGGGACTGAAGGGTCCCAGGTTCGATTCCGGTCAAGGGCAAATGCCTGGGTTGTGGGCACATCCCCAGTGGGGAGTGTGCAGGAGGCAGCCAATCAGTGATTCTCTCTCGGCATTGATGTTTCTATCTCTCTCTCCCGCTCTTCTCTGAAATCAACAAAAATATATTTTAAAATAAAATAATTTTAAATTACAGTTGACATACTTACTATATTATATTACTTTCAGGTGTATAAGTGATTAGACACTTATACAACTTACAAAGTGACACCGTACACGATTATTACAATATTATTGACTGTATTCTTTATGCTGCACTTTACATCCCCGGGACTATTCTGTAACTATCAATTTGTACTTCTTAATTCCGTCAGCTTTTTCATCCATTCCCCTAACCTCCCTCCCATCTGGCAACTGTCAAAATGCTCTCTGTATTTATGAATCTGCTTATGTTCTGCTTATTTATTTTGTTTTTTAGATTGCATGTATAAGTGAAATCATGTAGGATTTGTCTTTCTCTATCTGACTTATTTCACTCAGCACAATACCTTCTAGGTCCATCCATGTTGTTGCAGATGGCAAGATTTTATTCTTTTTTATGGTTGAATCATGTTCCATTATAATTCCATTATATATACTGTATACGTTCAAAGGCTGTTAAATCGCATTGTATACCCCTATCTTCAGAAAAAAATAACTTCCACTGTCGTGGTAAACAACCTGCTTCCCTATTTATAATGGTCTGGCCCTCTAGCAACTTCAGCGTGAAATTATAGCTAATTTGCCTACAAACGTCAAGTGGTCATAATAATCTGGCCCCTCAGTGTATATGCACCATTTTTTCTTTATCCATTCATCTGTTCTATTGATGGGCAATTAGGTTGCTTCCATATCTTGGTATTGTAATTAATACTGCAATGAACATATGGATACATATGTCTTTTGTTGTTGTTAATACTCACCCGAGGATATTTCCACCATTGAGAGAATGGAAAAGAGGGAGAAAGGGAGAGAAATCACCTCCCCCATGCACTCTGACCTGGCCAGGGATCGAACCTGCAACCCAGGTTTGTGCCCTTGACAAGTAATTGAACCCAGGACCCTTCTGTGCGTGAGATCAATGCTGTAACCACTGAGCACACCCATCAGGGCTGCATATGTCTTTTCAATTTAGTGTTTTAGGTTTCTTCAAATAATTACCCAGAAGTGGAATTGCTGGGTCCTTTTTTGTCTCATGTTATATAACCTTTGTGTTAAAGTCTATTTTATCTTGTATAAGTATTACTTCCCCAGCTTTTGGTTTTTGTTTTTATTTTCATGAAATATCTTTTTACGTCCCTTTACTTTCAGTCTGTGTGTATCTTTCTATCTGAAGTGAGTCTCTTGTAGACAGCATATGTAAGGAAGGATCTTGTTTTGTTATCCATTCAGCCACCCTATATCTTTTATTTTAAAATATTTTTTTATTAAAAATATATTTTATTGATATTTTACAGAGAGGAAGGGAGAGGGATAGAGAGTTAGAAACATCGATGAGAGAGAAAC